TTTTTAATCTATTAGTTCCTGTGTCAAGTTCACCTCACAACTACACATGTAGTCTTGGTACAACCGAGGGAGTAGCAGAGGAGGATGCAGGAATGAACATTTGGGGTGGGAGAAGCTGCTGATGTTGGGATCTCTTCCCTTGTTCCCCTCTGCCCTTTCTGCCTCTTATGTTGTAGACAAAAAAAATGGCTTTTTGCACCACACTAAAAGTTACTTAGCTGTGTGCAGAAGATCCTCAACAGCTACCCCAGAAAATAGGATGCCTGCATCCATCACAGGTAGCTTCCAGGGCTGATACTCTTTCCTTTATTCCTTACCAACTTTGCTCCATCCCACTGCCCAAGTTGTTGGATGACGCCAGACTGGGAGGAATGATTTGCTGGAAGGCAGCAGGGCCAGAAACAGTGTGAATTCAGCAAAGACAAAGGGACAGAATAACCCTGTGCACCAGGATAGGTTGGCAGCCAAGGAGTGAGAAAGCAGCTTTGCAGAAAATGTGTTCTGGTGAGTAACAAGCTGAAGAGGAGTCTGAGTGCTCCATTGCCTGCCAAAGAGCACACCCAGCACAGCAAGGGAAGTGGGACCATGTTTGGAGTACAAGGTCCAGTTTGGGGATCTTCAGGAAAAGAAAGACTTTGACAAGCTTGAGCAAAACCAGGCAAGGCCATCAAGATGTTTTGTATGAGGAGAGGCTGAGACAGCTTGGTTTGACCTTGAAGAAAAGAGAGGTAAAGAGACCCTTTTCAGATGTGTCTGGAGAAAGGATGAGAGGGAACAGACACAAGCTACAGGATGGGAAATTCTTATGGAGTAAAAGGAGGACATTCTTCACAGAGTGGTCAAATGATGGAGGAAGGGCCTGGAGAAGCTGTGGTATCTCTCTCCCTGCAGATATTCAGAACTTGACCGTACAAGACCCTGAGCAACTGGATCTAACTCTAAAAGTAGCCCTGAAGTCACTTCCAACCTAAATTGATCTCTAAATGGAGCCAGGCTATACAGGAGTAACGCTGGCATGAGTCAGGAGAGCTGCTCACTTGGTCTCTGCTGCTGTCACCACTCAAGATGTAACCTCAGTCACTCTCAGTGACTCTTTCC